CCAACCTAGATGATTCTATGATTCTATGATTCTATGTAAAAACCATGGAGTGACATAACTTAAATTGACAGCTAAAACCAGAAAATTTTAAAGATACTCACTTACCTTTCTCCTCCTTTCCCTGCTTTCCCAGCCAGCCAAGATGTGAGGTCAGAGTTCTGTGACTCTCCTACAGTAGCTTGTGACAGCTTTGCCAGGATAAAGGTGGCTGTGTTTTCCTTTGAGTTTTGCTGGTGCCAGGATCAAGTCTCTGATCTACGGTTTTGGCAGATAACTAAAAAGCAGCACTTATTTCCAAATCTGTTTTAACGTATTCTCTTTGTAATGCAGGATTTTATAGTTGATTTTTAAAAATTCACTTCAGGTCACCTTTAAATGCCATCTTAATGATGTTAGAAAGCCAAAGCCTTTTACACTAGACTTCTGTTAAAAGTTTAATGTTCCTAGTATAGAGATTCATTAGTCTTAAAAGCATGATTACATGTTACTGTGTTTCACAGATGTATTTCTTTCATGTATAACTTATTTTTTATTGAAGTGTAAAACATCTATGTTATGCATTCAAGCTATATGTTGTGTGAAGTTGACTATTTTAACATTAAAAAAACCCAAAGTGTTTGATTTTCATCCTTTGAAGTCTTTGAATACCTGCATAACAGTGTTTTGCTCTCTTACCAGAGTTTTGAAGGTACCATTGTGTGGGAAAGCCAGGATCTTCAGGGCCTTGTTTCAAGAAACCTTCATAAAGTGATGGTGAATGATGGAGGGGGTGTTTTCAGAGTCATTACAGTGAGTCACCTCACCTTCCTTTCCACCATGTTTCTATTTTTCCTATAAGTCTTGGGTATTTAGCATTTTGCTTTCCTGTGTTTCTCTGTAAATTGTTAATTCATTTGGGCTTCTCCTGTTGTCTCAGAGGGGAAGTTTGCTTTGCCTGGGAAAAGGACAAAGGCTTGCAAAAAATGATGCTAGTAAGTGGCATTTTCTTTTATTTTGAAGGGAGTAAAGTTCACCTTTTGTCTTTGTCAGGTGTGAAGCAGTTTCAGTATATCAGAGATGGCAAAATGTGGGTCAGAAATCCTGTGCTAAAATCCCAGTCGATGGGATTAAGCCTGTTCTTTGCTTTCTGGCAGTGTGTGTGTCTCCTGTCAAAATGTTGCTTGCTTAAACATGCTGTGCTATTGTAATTTAGCCAGAATAACTTTACATTTTGCTCTCAACTTCAAAACTAGTTTTCTAAAACTTTCAGTGATACTGCTAGTTTTAGGTGAAACTTCAAAAAATGCCACAAAACTTTACAGTTACAAATCTTAGTCTTTCATCATGCAGGTACCTAAACCAGAAGAGCTTTAAATTAATTTGATTCTCAGTTGCCAGAAAACTTCTTACCTTAAAATCAGAGGGGAAAACACATCAGTAATGGATATGAACTAAATTATTTCTTTCCATTAATCTGTCTCTAGCAGGCAGGGGAAGGGTCACTGCCACATGAACTCACAGAAGGTGTGGAGGGAATAGCAGGTGGTTTTATCTACACTATTCAAGGTAAGTCTGCAAAACAGAGCATCACATTTGATGTTATGATAAAACAGGAATTTAAAATTACGTTTCTGAGGTAAAATTGATGCTGTATCTATGATCTTGATCAACTTAAGTTTTCTTTTACTAGAAACAGTTAATTTTTTCTGTTTTTTTATGCCAAAGGTCAATGTCCTGATATGGTTTCTTTGCTTGCTCTTTGTCAGCCACTCCAATTGACTTGCATCCCTTTGTCTTTTTATTAACAGAAATACCATTTTTATCTAGACTCTCTTCTCTGTCCTTGTTTTTTGTTACCCAGACCCAAGTAAAAAAATATTGTGCAATGTGGTCCGCAAGAAATCTTTCCCTGATAATTTTCACATTTTTTCCAGTCCTGATACTTTTACAATTAGAAGCACTGAGTCAAAATGCTTACTATTAACTACTGACAGTGACTACCTAACATAGCCTGCTTTTCCACCTCTGTTTTTGCTGGCTTACACCTATTTCAGCAGAATGTTCACAGACCCTATAGGAGTCCTTTCCAATGTCTAAGATTTTGTCTACATGGCACTAGAGTTGATGTATTCCTACCAGTCCATCATAGCCAACATAAGCAGTGACTTCCAGAGCGTTATTCCTGTGTTTTTGTAGTTAGGCCTGGCACACATAAATTGGGCAGTCCTGTTGTCTTGCCATCTGTGTAGGAGCCTGAACTGAGGTGTGCTAAAGCCCTTCCATTGTTTGTCAAAAAGTTCTTCAGCGCCACAAACTATCTCCTTACCAAGAAGTTCAGTATTCTTGCAATATCTTTTTAGCTTTTATCTGCAGTCAGTTATGTGATGAAATTCAGCAGGGACTACCTATGCTACATAGCATAGGATTTTGTTGTTTGTTTTGGGCTTTATTTTTTCAATGCTAGATATATATGCTTAGGTAATTGATATAACAGTCGCCTTTTTACTCTACCGGTAAGAGTAATACTGACGTCCCGGACAGCTCTTTATATTAAAGAACCTTAAAAAGTTGAGTCCTTTTATTACTGAAAAGGAAGATAATACTTTTTTACTTAAACTTTGTGTAATCTGTATCAGACCTTATGCAAAAATATATTTCTTTGTTGTTATGGAACTTTTAACCTTTATAGAAATTTTTGAATTAATTGTAAGATTTTCAGAACCACATAGAGTTGAACACTTCTTCAGATTCATTTTGTCAGTATGTCATTTATGATCCAAGAGAAATGTGAAATAGTATGTAGGTATGTGTCTTTGTTTAATGATGGATGCTGCTTCTTTCAGAAGGTGATGCCCTTTTAAAAAGCCTCCATACTCGCCCAGAAAGGTTTACAAGTCATATAAAAAATCTTGAAAAAGAAGATGCTTTGTTGAAGGAAGAAAGCAGTACCTATGACGATATTGTTTTTGTAGATGTTATTGACACTTACAGAAATGTTCCAGCGAAACTGCTGAACTTCTACCGATGGTAAGTTGAAAAGAAAGCATTTTCTCTTAGGAATGTTGCTGCTTGTAGTGCCAGATGATCCAGCATGTTACGTTACTTGACAGGTTCCATGAAATACATACCTTATGTGATTTACTTCAGTAAGTTGTATATTTCTCTCACAGTTTTGGGGCATGTAGTGTATCTAATGAATAAAATAACAGGATCTGTATTTCCTGAATGCTGACCCTTGGTGCCTCAAATAATCACGAGCTGGCAAGACAGGCTTCTGCCCTAAGAGTCCAGGTGTGAAAACGTTCATGTCTCCTTGTAATTTCTTTTATTTCTGACTGAAAACTAGCAACTTTAGTCTTTTAAAGGATGGCTTTTGGCCAGCTTGTAAACTTAGTGTTTCAGTTTGTGGCCATTGACTCTTGTGCTGTCGCTGGGCACCACTGAAAAGAGCTTGGCTCCGTCTCTTTGCACCCTCCCTTCAGGTATTTATATACATTGACGAGCTCCCCCCTGAGCCTTCTCGTCTCCAGGCTCAACAGTCCCAGCTCTGTCAGCCTTTCCTCATAGGAGAGATGCTCCAGTGCCTTCATCATTTTGGTGGCCCTTTGCTGGATTTGCTCCATCCAGTATGCCCACGTCTCTCTCGTACTGAGCAGCCTAAGACTGCACACTCTACGCCAGATGTGGCCTCACCAGTGCTGAGCAGAGGGGACGGGTAGGAAGCTTGTGTACGGGAGGGGCGGAAGGTTGAGAGGAAGAATTTTCATAGTGTATTACATTGTCTGTGGTGAATCTAAGAAGTTATTGCCTCTAATTTGCAATTCTTTCCATTACTCTGAGACAACTGTTTCAATTAATTGATCTTGCTGTGGAGTAAGAAATATAGCTGACAGTTTTAGTTGCTTGTAGGATTATGCACTTACTTAACAAATTTCATGGTTATGAATGTAACAAAAAACGAACCATGCTTTCAGTTCTAAAAAGAGAGTTTAAATGTCAAGACTTAGATCTTTGTCATAATTTCTTACAGGTTAGCAAATTTTTCAAGATTTAGTAATAAAAGGCTTAAGGAAAATGCCTTTCCATTAAGAGAAATTACCCTTAAAAACAATGTTTGTTAATCAACCAAGGAATAATCCCTAGAATCTTAAGCTGCTTTGGTTATTTTACAAGTGACAGATATTCAACTATTTCAGACAGTTAAAGATTACTTTTTTTGTATTTGAAGGGTGCTTTACTGAGGAAGAGTAAGTGCCAAGTTTTTTTCCACAGATGTTTCTTACAACCTTCTGCAGTTGTATTGCCCTTGAGCTGACTGTCTCATCCTGAAGAGTAGGCTACTGATGTGTAGCCACTAGCTTTTGACAGCTGTGCTGCCCTCATCAGAAGCAATTCAGAACCTTCTGAGGTTGATAATGTTTAAGACGGATTCATTAGTAAATCCACCATCTGTCCCAGAGAACAAAACTTCAAGTTTGTTTTCTTCAGCTCATACACAAATCCATGTTGTAAGATCATCATAGGATGCAGCTGCATCTCCTTTCTGTAGGACAAGCAGTCAGCCTTGGTCAATAGGGAAAACATTTAAAAGTCACGGGTAGGAAAGACATTCCTTCCTTCCTCTGTCCCCCTCTGCTTCCCAAAAAAAACCATTGCAGAGTGTACTGTTGCGTAACTGTAGTTTGTGGGCTGCAGCTCAGCATCTCATCACTTTTCTTTTTGGCTACAGGACAGTTGAGTCGACGAGTTTTGATTTGTTGCTGAAGACAGATGATGACTGCTACATTGATTTGGAGGCTGTTTTTAACAGGATAATGCAGAAAAAATTGGACAGGCCAAACATTTGGTGGGGAAAGTGAGTTGTGTGTTTTAACTCATCTTTAAGAAATACCATGTCTTTAGTGAACGGTTTACTGCTTTAAGTCTGTTTTCATGTGGGTTCCCCTTTTCTGCCTAAGGAAGCTAGTTATAAAACGCAGGACTTTCGTATGTGTAGAACTTTGAGTCTCAAAACACAGAAATCAGCACTTTACAGTAGCTTTCCAGAGTGTGCCTTTACAATGAGTTGAACTTGCTGAATACCTTACCGAGTTTTAAAACGTGTTGTATATGTCTTTGTCATGGTACTTAAGTAAATAAAAGTATTCCAGCAGTACACTAAAGTTAAAATGCAAGTACATACTAGAATTGCAAATTCTACTTTTTTTGAAGCCACTGTGATTTTTCTGGTGGGCTTGAGGAAATAGGGTAGACAGGAGAAACAAAATTGCCTTTATAATCTGCACTCTATTTTGAAGTATGTGAATGAACAGGCATTGCTACCCATTTTGCTGCTGTCTGAAATGGTAGGTCTGATTCATGAATTCTTCAGTGAAGTTCCCCAGCCTGCATTACACTTCAAATAACTAGGAGGATCAAAGTAGCCCATCTCTTCCCTTCTCTTCCATCCATGGCATGCATTGCTACACTGGTATAACATCCAATATAGCAGAAACGCTACGCTGCTGTAACATTCCGTATAGCCCAACAGGATGATGTGTCTTCCTGTTGCCATCTGCTTACAGAATAAAAGCTGCCCTTTGCTGCTAAAGGTGTCTTGCTTCACAGATCTGGCACGGACTGTTGCTTACTCGTAAAGTGATATAATAAAAGTGCGTAGAATAGCTGGCTATCTTGTGATGACCTCAAAGATCGGAGTGGTGGGCATGTGTTCTCTAGCCTGTACAAAACCCCTGATTGCCTGGTGCCTGTTAAATTTTCTTGGGACTACCTTTACCACAAGGCAAAGCTAATAGTGAAGGTAAGATAGGTTCATTCTAGCAATGTAGAAGGTCAGGAACTTGACGACAAGATGGAAACCAACTTGCAAAAGGAAAAACAGCACTACGTATAAGCTGCCTGGGCTGCTGAAAGCTCTTCTGGAGCATGTTCTTGGCTGTAAGAGCTGAGGCTGTGATACCAAAGAGATTGCCCTACTTCTCCTTGGCATCCCTGCCTATGCAAAGGTAGGTGTCCCTGCCTTTGAGTTGCTGCCTACCATGGGCCTACTCCTCGGCTAGCTTTTTCTGGTTATGTGTTCAGCTTTGCGGGTAACCACTGAGTGTAGAGGAGTCTTCTGAGTGGTTTTGGGGAACCCTTCTAAGCTCTCCTACCTTTGGTTGTATATTTAGACTTGAGCATTGGTGAAAGTGCAAATGAAATGCTGTTAGGCTTCTCTGAGAGCTGGTTCTGGTGTGTGGAGACCTTCACTTCCTGAGCAGAAGGTTAATATATCTGGCCTTTGAGGTGACATTATTGGTGGCCTCCCTTCCTTCTGCTCCTCAGAGCACATATCTGAGAACTCAAACTTTGCATTCTTCATCTGCACCTTATTAAGCTCTCTCAAGAAATTCTCAAGTTTCTTGTTTGTTGTCCAGTGTTCCTTATAATCTGTTGATAATTAATTCCTGTATTCTTAGAGAAACTTACCAGCATGCTTGTGAATTCTGAAAGTATCAACTTACTCCGGCAGAAACCAGGGATGAGATCTCAGTGAAACTGGGAAGGGAGTACTTTGGATTGAGCAGTACTTATGTGTGCTTTCAGTTAATAGCCCTTTTGTGTCTCCCACTTCATATTGTGTGGTGGGTTTGTTCATTAATTTTAAATCACCATTTAAAAAAAGCTCATCTAGAGCATTTCAGGACTGCAAGCTGGAAAACAAAACAGTGCAGGTATCCTACTTCAGAACTTTGGCTCATCTTGGAGAGAACATACTTATCTTAAGTTACTGCTATTCTATTCTGTCCTGGTTTCAGCTGGGATAGAGTTAATTTTCTTCCTAGTAGCTGCCATAGTGCTGTGTTTTGGATTTAGTAGGAGAAGAATGTTGATAACACACTGATGTTTTAGTCATGCTAAGTACTGCTTACGCTAGTCAAGGACTTTTTAGCTTCCCATTTTAGCACCCTGCCAGGTGCACCAGAAAGTGGGAGAGGGCACAGCCAGGCCAGCTGACCCAAATTGACCAGAGGGCTATTCCATACCATATGACATCATGCTCAGTATATAAACTGGGGGGGGGTTGGCTGGGGGGCAGCAATCGCTGCTCGGGGACTAGCTGGGCGTCGGTCAGCAGGTGGTGAGTGGTTGCATTGTGCATCATGCATAATTTGTTTTGTATATTCTTTTATCATTATTATTATTATTATTACTTTCTCTGCTCTCTTATTAAACTGCCTTTATCTCAACCCATGGATTTTACTTCTTTTTTTTCTGATTCTCTCCCCCATCCCACTGCGGGGGGAGGGTGAGCAAGCAGCTGTGTGGTGCTTAGTTGCCGACCGGGGTTAAACCACATCATGTTCTTTTAAAACTGCAGTCAAAAGATTAGTCACCCTCAGGCATGAGAGAGAAGGCTTTGATGGATCCCTGATCATGTCTGCAAATGACCAAATCTGTGATGGAGTAGAATGTACCAAGCTGTTTCTGAGGGAGATTGAATCTAATATGAATGCTGTAAACAAAAAGGCAGCTCACTGAAGTTAGCTCATCTACCACGCTATGGAAAGCAGCAGGAGTTCAGAATGGCACCTTTTCTTGACCTTAATTAGGCCAAAAAGAAAATTCAGATACGTTTTCCATGAAGATACGTTTCATTTGTAATACGAACCTCCCCTTTTCCTGGGGTCTGAGATACACTGTGAGGTGTAACATGCTTCGTGTTCAAGTAACAAGACTTCCAGGCTTGCCTTAGAATAGCCATTGAATGACCTTCCAAGGATCGATAATGCTTGCCTCTCCAGATTGAAAAATGAGTTGGGTGAGTCTTGCTGTAGAAATGGTGTTTTAAGGTATTAAGTAATTTTATTAGGTTACTGACAAAAAGAAGTGACAAGTTGTGCTGGAAGAGTTGGACAAAATGTCATCTTTTCTGTATGTCTATGGAGAGCTTTATGTAGGGGTGGCATCTTCAAGTGTAAATTCTCTAGTAGTCACAGTTTTCATGTAAGGCAAATGTGAGACGTAGTGAACAACGCTGAAATCACTACAGAAGTATTAAATGATTAGCAAAGCGGGTGCCCCTCAGTCTGGATGGGGTTGCACCCTTCCTGCTGTGACTTGCTAGAGTGGGAGATCCTGAATCTAGAGTAAATTCAGGTTATCATCAGATGTGACTGTTACCTACTTGGGGCTTTAATATGTCAGCTTCAGCTGTGAATGCGTGGAGTCTGGTAACAGATCTGCAACTGAACTGTAATTCCTCCCTTATGGGGCTGTCGTCTGAGGTGAGAATTCGTAGTAGCTCACTAGAGCTTTTAACTGCTTGTGCTCTTGACTGAATTCAGCAACGCTCAGACCTGTGTGCAAAAAGGGGGAGAACCTGCTGCACTGACACAGTTATGCCACTTAGCTGTGAGCGCGTGAAGCGCTTTTAAGGTTAGAGGAGTGCAATAGCAGCCTGTTCCCGAACAGGAAGAGCAGGGCGTTTCTCGCTGCCTGACACAGCGGTTTAGCAGGGTGCGTGGCGCTGTGTGGTGGGGCAGTGTGTTAAAGCTAGCTTTGCCACACTGCCGGGGGATGGGAGTCAGTGCAGAGACTGTGCAGACAGAGCGCTGCTGGCTTTCTGCAGGCCTCTAGTAGTAAGTACAATCTTCCCTAGAGAAGATGACTGCCAGGAAGGTTTTTTTGTAATTCAGTGACAGCAGCCTTTGTTGAACATCTGCTTTGTTGAGTTTCATTTGGAAAACAGCATAGAGAAGGTATATAAAAACGCAGTAGTTTGCCTTGCTTCCTGGTTTTTAAGCAGCCACTAATTTTATCAGGAAGATGGGTTGTGTAAGGTCGCTGTAACTGCATGTCTGCCAGAGACACTGGCTTTGTGCTGATTAACAAAAGGGGGGGGGGGGGTGGTGTTGGACACAGATGTGCCTGTTACAGAACATAATTAAGGATGCTTGCGCTTACCTGGCTCAAAACCCAGCAGTGGGTGCAGACGTGCTGAAGGCCTGACTGTCAATGTTGCATTTGTTTCTGTTCTGAGAACTTTCTCTTACTACCCAGGAGTGAGACCAAACAACAGTTACACTTTCAGCTGTTGGGTTGGATTACATGCATGCCCTAGAGAGGTAAGGCCGGGAATAATCAGAATCACTTTTACTTCTTCCTCTTAATACTGTTTATTATCAGTGTTACTTCAGTTGCTAGCAGCGTTCATAGGTTTCACAGAGGGCTTTGTATAAACGTCTCATGTCTAACATGGTCTTCAGTTTCAGACTAAATTGGGCAGTTGATCGAACTGGGAAATGGCAAGAGCTGGAGTACCCGAGCCCTGCATATCCAGCCTTTGCTTGTGGGTCCGGCTACGTCATCTCCAAAGACATTGTTCAGTGGCTGGCAAGCAACTCTGAAAGATTAAAGACGTACCAGGTAGTAAAGTGTTGGTTCAGCTTTTCTGTCTTAAACTGGTCTGGGGAGCAGCATGTGTACTGGATGAGTTGGAAGGAACATTGCTCGAGTGTTAGTGTTGGGTTCCCCTGGTTGATGCTGGCTTTTTGCAGTGCTTTTGGTCATTACGCTTCAGTGTCTGTTCTAGGTCAAAGCACAACTGTTGTGGACTTTAGAACCTCTGGAGCTGTAACCTTGTTTTTCATACTGTCTTCTTTTGAGAACAATATATTATCACAGGAAAGCTAGGAGGATTAATTTAACACCTCTAAAATAGGCAGAGATAGGGTTTTGTAGTTATCATTTTTTATTGCTAGTACACGATGCAACTTATTCTAGTCCACAGAGTCATGCTTTGTGCTTTCCTGGTGCTAATACCTGTATTTTTTATTTTGATGTGTTGTCTCAGGGTGAAGATGTGAGTATGGGCATCTGGATGGCAGCTGTAGGACCCAAGCGGTATCAAGTAAGTCTGAAGAAATTTGCTGATCTTATGGAAGAAGAACATGCCTGTTGCTCCGAGTAGCATAAAATAGTGGAAATACTTTTTCTTTTTAAACAAACGAACAAACTGAAATAGCCATTGGATTAAAATCGAGAAAACACTTGTTAAAATGTATTTAAAAGAAAAACAAAAAAAACCCCCACAGCCCCTATCCCCAACCCCCAAGTTCTCTGGCTAGGTCTAGCTGATCAGAGAGGGACATATACCTCCAGTTGGTGACCTCAGTGTGCAAAGTTTGTGCTGAAAACAATGAAAACCAGATTCTTGGAAGTAAAGATTGTCAAAGACTATATTTTTTGTAAGAAAAACTATTGAAATGGTTCTCTCTCTAACAGGATAGTCTCTGGTTGTGTGAGAAGACATGTGAGAGTGGCATGCTGTCTTCCCCCCAGTATTCTCCCCAGGAACTGAGAGAGCTCTGGAGATTGAAGGAACTGTGTGGAGATCCTTGTAGATGTGAGGAAAGATGATGGACTTGCCTTGGAAAACAGGGTAGCGTATAATGACCATGGAAAAGTGTACATTTGGATTCATTCTTGGAACAATAAGGAATATTAAGGTATCTTTTAATGTTGGCTTTCAACTAAAGCATAACAATATTTGCACATCCCTTTTGATAATGACAAGTGGACTGATGATAGTATTCATTTTCTATAGTATAGATGTTGATCTGACAAAAACCAAAATGTTTAAGATAAAAAAAATTTCCTTTTTATATAAAGTCAAAGACCTACTTGTAATTAATAAATGCACATAAGAATGCCAACTAGCCTGTCTTTTGTAAATGAAAGTACTACTGATATAACTCGGCATAGAGCCGTACCAGGATCCAGTGGAGAGCTGTGCTCAGCACCAGGGCGTCTGGTAAGTCTTGCTGCAACAGGTTCTGTGCTGTCCGAGGGGTTGCTCTCATCCGTGCAGGCGCTGGGACAGCTAGGCGTTAGGATTTGTGCTTAGTTTGTTTATACCATTGTCATTTTAGATAAAAACAGTATCAAAGTTTGCTTATACCAAATCTTGAAGTACTGCAAACTTGGCCTGATAGGAGGGATTTGTGATAGCTCAATGTGCTATTGGATATGAATCTGAGAGCACACAAGTGAAAGTAAAATAAGATTGAGGAACAGCGCACTAAAGAATGTAAAATAAATAGCAGTGCCTTGCAGTATGCCGAGGACTTATTTATACTGTGGTATGTTAATGCTCTTGGGTAGAATACAGGTCTGTCAGCTTTTGACCTTGAATAGTCTAAGGCTGTGTAGATTCTCCTACAATTACTGCCCTTTTGCTTCTGTTTGCTTTAAGGTCTTTGGAAGTAGGTGAAAACAAAAAAGCAAGTAGCCTCTTTCAGTGCAGCACTAATTTTGTCCTGTCATAAGCAAAGAGATCACAACTAAATCATGTACTCAGTTCAGTAAAACAAATTCTCACTGTTGCAATGGGAAAGTAGTATAAAATCTTGGCAAAAGTTACCTTGAGTTTTAATTGAAGCGTTTAAGCACTATTTGGTATCTCTCAAGTAAGACAATTCAAGCCAAAAGCAAATGCTTTCATGGAGACTGACCATTAAGTTTAGGAGCTGAAAGTACTATGGAATAGCCCTCTGGTGCCACGTATGAAATTTATGTTCTCCCACACGTGTGTTCAGGCGCAGGCTGTCCATACCATGTGCGGGCAGTCCAGAACTCTTCTGCAGTTCCAGCGTTGGCTTTTCCTTCAGTCCAGCAAGAGAGTCCCTTCTTACCACCGTACTAACACACAGTCTCCGTTTTCTATTGAGTAAAACTGCAAAGGCTTTAAGTCATTGTCTAGTTCAACTTCTTTTCCTTCCAGCTGGAGTAAGAAAGGAAAAAAACCTGATCAGACTTAAACTGAAATCTGTTCATGTAAACCAAATATAGATCAGGCAGTTGCAGTCAGGGAGGAGCTGTCATATTACAGGTATGAAAGTAGCTCCTAAATTACAGCATGAAGACTGCCCTTCTTAAACAAAGTCAATTTTGTTAGGTAGTATTTTAGAACATGCTATTGACCTTTAGCAGCATGCAGTATTTTATTGTTGAATTACCCATTTTTAACTCACTTTTGAACTTTCGTAGGACAGTTTCAGTTCTGAACCAGGAATTTTAAGTAGGCGATACAGCAATCCTTTGACCCTCTGAATAGTCATAGACTCTGTCAAGGGGAAAGAAAGAAAAGTTATTAGGAAAATGCTGCTGCCACTGAGCTGTAGCAAAGTAGTAGTGTTTCAACTATACTTGCTTATAGGAACAGTGGAAGGCTGTATTGCTGCTTCGGTTCTAACCCTGCAATAATGTCGTTTGTACCTGAAACCATAACCGCTAATATCAAATCAAGAATGGTGTAATCTCTGGTGGATAGGACAGGATATGCTACTATGGTTTAAGCGCTTTGATCCCATATACCAAATTAAAGTGTGACGGCTTCATAATTTACCTTTTTTGAGTTTGTATTTACTACATGCGAAACTAAGTGACCTTTGGGACGCATACCGGTCAGGTTCTGACTACCTGCATCTGGCAACTGTTCCTTCAAGTAAGTTTTCATTACCAGGAATTGGCTTTCCTGGCACAAATAAACAAATGTCACAGTGGAACTAGTGCCATTCTTAGAAATGGTGTATTACATTATTTAGTCCCAAACAAATTGCCAGCAGAGTTGTAGAGCGGTTTGTATTATGAAGTCAGTTACACAAAGGGATATTTTTTTGTAATGGATCTTGAATGAGTAAATGGAGCTTGTTCCAGAGGTGATACCTGTGTTTGCAATAGATATACTCAATATTTTGGTTGAACTTTCACTTCTTTTGAAGCTTTATCTAAAGGCACAGCAATAGTGAGTTATTCCTGTAATACCACACATTGTACTTAGACGAATATTTTTCTATCAAACATTTTTGTAAAAGCTGTATCTATCTGATTTTATGCAACTTGTGATAATAAATGTGATTTTTATTTTAAAATAAAGCCTGAGTAAGTCTTTTCTCTCGGACTCCATTCCGACACATTTTTCCAAAACATCAGTTTGCTATAGAACGAAGTCTATTCATTCTAGTCTCATTACAGGCACTAAAACTTCAAAAGACAAATTTGATACAGGTCAGAATTAGATTTCTAACTTAAGGTATTAGATACTAGACCTCGATATCTAGAACTGTGGACTACGTTGTCAGCTTTTACAGCTTCATGTTCTTGTTATTTGGTTAACACATCCACCAGATTTCAGACCAGTTAATTAGCCTCTGATTGCGTCGGACACATGAATCATGAAACCAGCAGCAGAGGTCATAAGACAAGCATCAACTTCCCATCTTCAAGCTGGACTGAAAGTAAGCGTGAAGGTCAGAAAAATAATGACTTTTTCAAACAATTTCTGCCTTTGTCATTTCTTTATATGACAGTGTCTTCAGGGGAGAATCTTCAGGAGCTGACAAAGCCAGAGGCAGCTGCCATTCTTTAATACAGTTATTTGAAAAGGAGCTACAAATCAACTGCTTAAACACAAGCCAAAACTTCTTACCTGGTAGCTGTTTCTCCACTGGCTTCTGTTCAGGTTTCTCAGGACACTTAATTGTCAAACCTTAAGGAAGAATGGTGAGGCATTAGTGAAGGAACATTGAGTCCTGTCCTGTCAGGAGCACGGAGTTTTTCTAGTCTGTCTTTATTACAAATTGTTTCCCCTAGCTCAGCCAGATCTTCTAAAAAAATTAGGATGTAGCCTGTACCTGAGCAGCTAAGATAGCATTCAGTCATTCTTTGAAAAATTAAAAGTAATCTTATTAAAATCATCAAGTTTTTATTAATCTTTGGCAAATTAGGGAGGGAGAATATTTTAAAAGTGACTCCCTAACATGTTTTTTTGGTCAAAAGGAGTATTTACCTAAAAATGCTTAATTTCTAGTTACCTTTTTAAAATAACCTGCAGTAGAAAGGAAACAGATTACTCAGTTTAAAGCAGGTTTTTGACACTCAGTATCTCAAAAGCACCACACAAGCACATTTTAAGGAAGTTATTAGCCTAATTCTTTTACAGAGATTAAAAGACTCATCCTTAAAAAAGGTTTCTGTTATGTCTAGCCAACTACATTCCTTGTTCTATTTAGTCTTCCACCTAAATGCATTAGAATGTAATGCCTTAAAATACTATTTTGCCCATGGAGTAAAAAAAGGTTCAGTTCTTCTATCAACTGGGAAGCAAAGCTAAGTGAATTTCTAAGTCTGGGATGTAACCTAGTTTAAATATGTAGACAGCCCAAATACCGAAGCTACCCACATTTTCCTTGACTGTCCTAAAGTTAAGAAGCTATTAAAAAAAAAAGTGATCAGAAAACAGTACAGGGTCTGCTGTAGAGAAGCCATTCACACTGTCAGAACGGAGTATTGATTACCTCTAGTCTCCATTAAGTCTTAATTAAGAAAATAATTTGGCTTGGGTTGAGGGGCAAATGAGAGAGAGTACACAGAAGCACGCATCTAGTCAAACACATTGATCCACACAGTTCAGAGCAGCAGAATTACAGGCTGGAACTCTGTGACCTCTTGAAGGCTTTTGAACTTTTTGTTCTCCACATACACCCAGGAAACACTAAGCTTGTGAAGCATTTTAAATGCGGAAGGAACAATTTTGACCATTTCTGGCCTCTTACTCAGAAGCTGATTTTTCAGAGTCAAAGGCTGTCGTCTCTTCAGTTCTCCTTCTTCAGGTGCACCGTATTCTGTGTGAAGGAGAGTGCACATAGGCATGAACCCTTCAAAGGCGAAACCACAACAGCAGCCCTAAGAGCGCTGTGGTGCTGGGTCAGGCACAAGCCTGTCGGATCAGGCATGAGCCGGCTGCGTCAGTTCCCTCGGCAGCTGGGACACAGCATATAGGAAGCGGTGGGCTCCTGCAACGCCAAGGGCTGCAGCCAGGAGCCTTCAGCCACTGCTAGAGCCTTTAGGAGGGGTGGAGCAGGTGACAGGCACACGGAGGTGCTGCTGAACATTCCCACGTGCTTTAAAAGCGGCCCAGGTGGAGACAGCCGCTGCCTGCTCACCAGTAGCGTTATGGGGCAGATGCTCACGGGTGTCATGCCTGAGGCGGTGAGCCCGGAAGGGCGCAGTACTCTGCAGCTGCCCCACAGAAGCAAAAGCCATTTGCACGCAGGCCTGCCAGCCTGCTTCAGGTGGGCTTTCCGAAGGCAGCAGAAGCACACGGAAAAAGCATCAAGGGGGAGGGACACTGAAGAGAGACTGAACCAGTGCCACCACAATGCCAGAAGCGAGGAAATGCTGATTTTACTGTACTTGTACTTACTAAGACAAAGTGCTGGGTATCTGGGATGGGCAGCAAGAAATTCTTCACTTGGTTTGTCTTCCTCTGGGTTCCAATTCCCCCCAGCTGCTAACCAGTCATTTCCAAATATTTTGCGATAATCAAGCTCTGCGTAGCAGGAAGGATCTGTACTGACACAGGAATGGCACGTAATATAATTATACAACTTCCCAGAGAAGAAAATCTTACTAATGACACTGATCCTTGCTCTTACTTAGGTGTTCAGTATGTTTTAATGCTACCAAGAATCTTACAAACCCTATCTCCAAGTACTGACTAATCCATATATTTGGTACATTTTAAAGCTATTAAGAATCTTACAACCCCTACCTACATGTACTGACTGATCGATAAATCCATATCTAAGCAAAGATGTTGCTGTATTTGATGATGCAAGGATGTTTTTTGTAGCTATGGAGCAGATGCTGCTTCTGCTCTCTTTCTTATGATAAACGTTTGCTGAAAGTTTGATTTGGTTTAGATAATGCTATTTTCCTATTACAGAAGGCAAATGCTTGTATTACGGTCACTGAAACAGATTCAGCGATGCT